CCATGCCACAAACATGGATTGAGTGGCTACTGTGGGCCCGGCCATCTCCTAGGCCCTGGGGCAGACACGCACAGGGCACGGTCCCCGGCCCCCGGGGACTCTCAGGTTGTGGGTGGTAGACACATGCAGGGCACGGTCCCGGGCCCCCGGGGACTCCCAGGTTGTGGGGGGCAGACACGCACAGTGCCAGGTGGGGTGCTGGGAAGACTCAGCCAGGAGCTTCCCCGGTGTAGGAGGAGGGGCAGCCGGCCCACAGCTGGGACGGTGCGGGGTGAGCCCTGCGTCCGGGGTGACCGACGATGCTAGTTAGGGGTGTGGAAGGAAGAGGCTCGAGGGGCGAAGCGACCGTGCCCCCAGTTTTACACGCATGCCTTGGGGGGCTTGCTGAGCCTCTGGATGGAGAGTCCTGGCCAGAGTTGGGGGTGGCTGAGTCCAGGGCCTATATTCCACCTTCCTGTCGGACGCCTCTTCCTGGAAGGGCTGTCCAGCTTTGCCGAGAGCCCCCCGAGCACCGGGAGGGAGAGACGGGGGTGGCCCCCAGGAGACAGCCGTCCACTCGCGGGGTCCGGGCTGGGCCTGGGCCTGAACCCCTCTCCAAACTGGATGCTCCTGGACGCTCACTGGGGGCGCCCCCTGGTGGCCGCAGAGCGATGTGCAGCCACCTCCCGGCTCACGCGTTTCCGTGGTGCAGCTGGGGCCCGGTCCGACAGTGACCGGCAGTGACCACGTGACTCACTGGGGGGAGTTTGCTCATTGTGCTAACCGGGCGATAAATGTCCCTCTGCGGGCCCAGCGGCTGCGGGGTCCCTTCCTGTGCGGCTTGTGGGCTCAGGTAGCTGGGTGCTCCCAGGGCCCCCGTGGGGCTGAGGCTCCAGGGGTGAGCTGTGTGCACATGGATTCTGGGAGGGCACGTGGGAGTACTTGAGAGTGTGTGAGAGTGTGTGTGTGAGTGTGTGAGTGTGAGTGTGCTGAGTGTGTGCATGAGTGTGCGACTGTGACAGGGTGTGAGTTTGCGTGTAGAAGTGGACCGAGGTGTGTCAAGTGTATGCACGTGTGTGTGAACATGTAAGTGTGTGCTTGTGAATCTGTGAGTGTGCTTATGTGTGTGAATGAAAACTGAGGGTTGTGCATGTGTGACTGTGAGACAGCATGTGTGACAATGTGTGTGACAGTGTGTGTGTGAGACAGTGTGTGTGTGGTCGCCCTCCCAGCAGTGTCCTGGGCCTGGGAACACCTTGCCTCCGGCTGTTTCTCTGCGGAGCCCCTGCCAACCGCCTCCCCCGGTGTGTCTCCCCCAGCAGAGCGCGGCGGGACCATGGGCTCCCTCGGACCCGGACACGTGGTGGCGTGCTGCCTGCTGCTGGCCTTCGCCTGTGGTCCGGTGCTGGGCCGCGTGCCACCTGACCCAGAGGAGCAGCAGGAGCAGGAGGGCACCGAGGAGCCTCTGCTGGACCATGCTGAGAGGTGAGGCTGCAGGTGAGGGTGC